TTTATTTACAAAGAAATTCTTATAAATTTTTTGATTTCAGTGCGATTTGCAAAGATAATGCTGGAATAAATTTCACGAATATTTGGTGATTCATTTCCGTCCACTTTAACCGATCACTGCTACAAGAATGATGATTAAATTCAATTCTCTGTTACTAAAATTGAATTGATGATAATAATAATAATAATAATAATAAAAAGCTGTAATCACCGAACTTGGAGATTTTGGCTGCGTCCTGCTGTGTTCTCCAGCCATGCAGTTCCTGGAAAATGTTGATGATTCGGCTCTTTGTTTGCTGTTCAGCCAAAAACCAATTTCATAGTCAACTGGTTATGTTTTACCGCGCGCTAACGAGAAGCAGAGATGCGATCATCACGTGTGGTGATTTGCTTGTTGGCAAATAAATTACCAATATTTTTTTAACTCGTTGTCTAAGAAACAAACGACAAACAATTGAGGAAGACGACGTGTTTTTAATTAGATCTTTTCTCTAAAAATTCAAAGCTGGTAAATGTTTTTAGACTCGTTTACGAAGAGTGCAAAAGTGTACTTTGGGTGTTTATAAGTAATAGTCACTTTGCTATTTGAAATCGATCACTGATCTTGAATTTTACGCAGATACGAATATGTTGATACAATCATTGAAGATAATCATGAATTCTTTTTTTTTTCGTGAGTCACTGCGTAATGAATGGCTTTTTAATATAAACCGACAATCGTGGCCGAGTGGTTAGGTTTACATTTGACGAAGATTTTCCTCAGTCCCTCCAGGAAAATGCTGAGATTATGTCTTAAATTAGGCCACGACCGATCCTTTCCACATCATTTGCAGTATGTTTCTGCCTATTTTACGAACAGATATGGCGAAGCTAATAGCATCATCTTTGTAACTTTAGTTGCGAAAGCATAGAAAAAGGTTAAATACAAAATGAGTTGGAGACGGGGTAGCTGAGTCAGGAAAATGATTGGCTATGGGCTCCATTCCTCTTGTCAGCAATGGAAACGGCGGGGGGGGGGGGGGGGGGGGCAGGTATTTTTCTATTTTCCACCGCGTTCGTACAGGCACTGGATCCCTTGCAACGTACGTCATCATGGCGAAGTGATGGCTTTGTAATTTGAAATAGCCTTTCGAAGCCGAGACTTCTTGAAATAATATTTAAGAATTCAATCCGTACCGCGAAGAAAACACAGGACTTCACCATTACAAAGATCAACTGGTTAACCCTTTGAAGCCTACGCTCGTCTAAATAATATTTAAGAATTCAGTCCGTACCGCGAAGTAAACACAACGCTTCACCATTACAAAGATCAACTGGTTAACCCTTTGAAGCCCGCGCTCGTCTAAATAATATTTAAGTATTCAGTCCATACCGCAAAGAAAACACAACTCTTCACCATTACAAAGATCAACTGGTTAACCCTTGAAGCCTAAGCTCATCTAAATAAAATTTACGAATTCAGTCCGTACCGCAAAGAAAACACAACGCTTGACCATTACAAAGATCAACTGGTTAACCCTTTGAAGCCTACGCTCGTCCAAATAATATTTAAGAATTCAGTCCGTACCGCGAAGAAAACACAACGCTTCACCATTACAGGGGCCAACTGTTTTACGCAGTTTAAGTAAAAAAAAATCTCAATTTATCGTGAGAATCTAAGATGCTGTTTGTTGAAGCAGCTAGTAAGTAGGCTTTAAAGGTTTAAAGAAAGAAATAGAATTGAATTAGACCTGCAAGGTTAGGCAAGGAAATTGACTTGTGTATTTAAATAGCCGAGGAAGGAAGTTGTCTATTCTTGATGGAATCCAAGAGGCGTTGATACAGCATGTCTTTTGTTGGCCGGCAGATGTCAGCACCGCTTCTGTAAGCGTTGCCTTCGCAAAGGTCACGCTATTGCTCACTTCTTTTCTTCTTTGTTGAATTTAAACTGAGCTTTGTACGGTTTTCAGCAAGTTTTTCGGTATTTGAACTACATGATCAAGACGCCATGAATTTTTACGACAATCGCCTTCAGAAGGTGACGGTCGTGATGAACGGTGAAAGGATCAGGACGGCGAAACACATTTCATCTCTCAAGTGAAAGGCTGGTCGATGATTTCACCTTCTTAGACTGTAATATATGAATAAATAAATTCTCTCTTATAATGAATTTATAAATCTGCGGTCCATGGTTTCTTTGCATGCAGTTCATTAAATAAACACGTCATTATGACGCCATGAATTACTCTCAAGCTACTTAACGGATTTCAATGTAAATTGGTGTTCATCACCGTATTCACAACAGCCCTCCACCGGTCCATATCCTGAGCTGGATTAATCATATTCACACACTCTAACCCTATCTCCTTACGATCCATTTTAATATTATCATTCCATCTACATCTAGGTCTCCCAAGTGATCTCTCTCCTTCAGACTTTCCAGCCGAAAATTTGTGTTCATCCACCTCGTTCATTTCATTCTCTTTGATTTGATCATCTGTGAAGAGTTTAAATTATGAAGTTTTTAGCAGCCACCAGTCATTTGATCTCTGTTGGGTTCAAATATTTCCCAAACACTCATAGTTCGTGTTCGTTGCTTAAAGTAAGAGGCCAGTTTTTCACACTTATAAAAACAGCAGGCAAAATTAGAGGCTATTTTCTTTCTTTATTCATGTTTATTTAAAATGAATTGTTGTGTACTGTATTACGAACATATTTTATTTATTTATTTATTTAGTGTTCTGCCTGACGACAGGTCCATATGAACAGGATCCTTCCATACTTTTCTCGGACTGGGACCTGTTCATATACGTTCTTGGCAGATGATCCAGAAGTGGTTTGCCATTGCCTTCTTCTGTGTGTGAATGGAGTAATTGTTGGGATGCCACGGAGGAAAACTCCGTGTTGCCTAGACCACGGCCTCGCCCAACACAAGTTATAAATCCGGGCGCCGCCGGGAATCGAACCCGAGACCCCAGGATACAGATCAAAATAAATATCTGGTTCCTAATACGAGGGCCTAACTTTGTTTTGGACAAGAATTACAAGCAAAGGGGGTATTAAGTGGGGATTAGATGGAGATAAAGGAAGTGATGTGAAGTGAAGTGTCTTAGTCTCGAAGTGATGAAGTGACTTCAGTTCTTTGGGATAAGATTATCAATTAGATGATCCAGCAGTGGTTTGCCATTGCCTTCTTCTGTGTGTGACTGGAGTAATTGTTGGGATGCCACGGAGGAAAACTCCGTGTTGCCTAGACCACGGCCTTGCCCAACACAAGTTATAAATTCGGGCACCGCCGGGAATCGAACCCGAGACCTCAGGATTACAAGGCCAGCGTTCTAACCGCTAGACCACCGCGGCTATATACGAACATATACGTAACTGTAATTATTGCTATTGAATTAATGGAGAATTCATTTTCGTTTCGTGAACCACTTTCAAGGAACTAATTATTTTCGTAAAACGAGAAGTTGGCATTATTACAGAACGTAAGAATAGGAATGAAACCAATTGTTGGGGGCAAAGTGGACACCTGCGGAACGCCTTTAAAAGCTCGCAGGAGAGTGTTTCTTAATTAGAAAACTAATTTTGCAGAGTCCGCCTTTCAGACCTACAATGACAACTCCACGGCCGACGACGGTTACAAAGCAGAATGGCCAAGTTGAATAAATTACTTAAATTGGGTGAATCACGACGTTATTTTTGTCGTAACAATGGGTCGCGACGGATTGTTGTGAATACGGAAATAGCAGCGTTCGATTTTACTGTTTGCTAGTAGCGGTTTCGGTCTGTTCCCATGACGAATGTCTGGCCACACACCGTTCCAAGCCACTAGCTCTCTCACGGCCTGATGGATGGCGATACTACGTACAGCCCGTCGCATGTTTGTTAAGTTTGTTTGTTAGGTTCGTTTGCCGGTTTGTTAAGTTGCAGAGACTGAAGGAAAGTGTAGGTTTTCGTAGATTCTCGCTGTAAACAGCGATCATTTCCTTAAACAGCGTTAGCCAGTTGATCTTTGTAATGGTGAAGAGTTGTGTTTTCTTCGCGGTACGGACTGAAATCTTAAATATTATATAGACGAGCTCAGGCTTCAAAGGGTATAACAGTTATAAGTTTGGTTCCATTTTCCACGTTTTCATAGGATTTATTACTGACCTTATTACAGCGTAATGATATTTTCCTGTAGTCTGGTGATGAGATAAGGAAATATGAATATTACTCCTGAGAAGTTGTGTCTTGTGGTGCCATAGAAAATTATCAATGTTTCAAAGATGCTTATTGCCTCCATCATCAGGGCGATGAGTCACTCATTGTCATGCACGCCGAAGTCGTGAGAACTTGAAATCAATTTTTCTTCCTTTCAATTAACCTTTCTCTGTTTGCGAGATTTATTTTTCTTTCTTTCTCCTCAGATTTATCTCACTCTCTCTCTTTCTCTCATTCTCAGTGTCGGTACTGTTCGCAAGATGGCATCACGATACCTCAGGTTGCAGGTGTTGGTAAATATATCACCCACTGATATCGGTGTAGTCCGGATTTTTATTCGGGGGAATATTTTAAAAAATAAGTAAATGACATCCATATTTTACTTCAGAGAATTAACAAAAAAAAAACACAAATTTCGATGTTTTCGTTACCAGATTTAAGGTTTGATATTTTTATGTTTTTCGCTATTTCTGACAGTTTTTCCAGGGTCTTCCAAGCGAACGTTTATGACGTTTCCCAATCAAAAATTCTGCACATATTTCTTGTCTCCCCCATCCCAATGACGCCTACTGCCTGCCACTGTGCACTTTCAGTTGTCCCGTGATGTGTGGCCATTTTTTGTCACGGGAAGGGGGGGGAGGGAATGCCCTGCAGGGGTGCCAACACTGCCCTTGCCTCCTGCGGCCTTCATCACTTGATCAGTAGACCTCGACGCCCCTCCTGCTGCTCGCTGATTGGTCCAGCACTCAGGGATGAAACAATGGAACGTCTTGAGGACTAAGATATCCTTCTGTCGAGACAGTCTTTTGGCAGAGCTCGTGTGTTGTGCGTTGTGAGACGGATCATGGCCCACTCTGTTGTCAGGTGAGCTTCCTGTCTTGGTGTCTTGACGACCGTAAGCTGCAGAATTTGCCTTTATCTTCGCTTGTTTGATTTCATGGATTTTACGCAGTGCGTCAGTGAGTGATGTAAGAAAGGGACTTTTAGGTAATGTAAATGGTTTTAAAATTAAACCAAACGTCGTAGCTCAGTGGTTATCAAACTTGCGTCATGTTCGAGACCTTCCAGGTTTAAATATCAGCCCGGGTACAGGTTATTCTAATGTCTTTCTTGGTTTTCCTCAGTCCTTCCTGATAAATGCAGGTATAGTAACTCTGATTAGGCCACAGCCGCCTCCTTCCCTACTTGTCTCATTCATTATTCATCATCGTCCCATAATTCGACGTTAAGTCTGAGCTTCTCACCTTTTACTTGCAAAATTCAGCTTATAAATAGATGGACGTGGTTTAATATTAAAATAAAACTTTTAGAAAGAAATTTGTGAAATGTCGGATGGATTCAGCTGGCTCAGGATAGAACCTAGTTGCGGGATCCCGTATACTCTTTCGGGTTAAATAAAAGTAGGGGAATATTTTGATTGGTTGAGCGAATCTCGGTTTCTCAAGATGACTCTGCTTAATGAAGTAACAGAAGTAATTGTGGTTATCAAGAGGTTAATTAACTAGTATTATGCTGTTACGTCTTGGTACATGTTTTTCTAGCACAGCGGATAACAAGAGACTAAAATTTTGCTAGAATAATGGGGTTTTTTTTAGGTGTTTCCTTCGGGCACGATTTTAAAAATTACGCGGTTCTATATTTGACGTTTCTCGTCTATCAGTACAATGGTAATTAAACAATTTTAACCGATATTTTGAAAAGTAACTTTTAAAAAATGAAGCGTATTACTCTCACGTCTTAAGCAAACCTATGATTTTTATTATGTACAGATTTGGTCTGTGATGGTGTTACTGTTCAGTGTAGTGACGCCTGTGGACTCGTGGGTAGGCAACACTTTCGACAGTCTCCATTTTCACAACACAGGGGAAGAAACTAGTGATATTAACCATCGTAAAAATCTCAGATCTCACAGATTATTTCGAATTTAGCGAAATTCATTATAATTTTGCATGGAACGTAATTTTATATGAGGCCTATCATCTGTAATTTTGTAGGTAGTTAACAATCAATACCGAGGTATCAGCTGCGATAAATATCTTCAGTACTCTGTGGCTTATTTTTAATGTACATTGAAAAATAAGCAGAAGGCTGCTTGTTCCTCTGAGGCAGGTCGAACTAGAATTTGATTTTACCTTATCTTAATTATATTGTTCGTCGGGCATGTTTCCTGCCTCGTGGCGAAAAGTACCAGAGACTCTTTAGGCGGAGTTAAAGTTAGTTGTGAATTTGAATAATCACTTTCATCTAATGTCATGGCTAAGAATGCGTGGATCAATACTTCTCACGCCTCCATACGCCTTTGTGACGTAATGAACAGTGACAAATGAGATTTTTGCCTTGTGAATACGAGACTTATGTCTTTATTATCAATTAAATTGTAAATAATATATGGTGATTTCTTTATAAGCGATTCAAACATTTTCGAATAAGGTGAAGTGATTTTGAGATCGGAATTTCTAACCTTCCACGTAATTAATAACAGGGCTTTGGGAATATATGTTTCTCGTTCCGTATACTTTTAAGTTTGTGTAATAAAATATGTTCAACTTAGCCTTTCTCAGAATTCTCGTATTTTGTAAGCTTATGTTAAAATATACAGAGATGGGTAAAGTGGGGATAATTGGCCAGATTTTGCTTATTCGGTCGGATGGAATTTAAGAAGTGTTTTACATGTTCATGGGGGGGGGGTGTAAACTATATAACGGAGTGCGGCCAGCCACAGGACCGTTTGCACGTGGGTCAGTCGCCACGGTGAGTGGCTATTGCTGACCAAAGTGACACGTCCAAATGAAGATCCGCTACGATCAGCCGACCATTTGCACTTAAGTTTCGTTTCCAATTGAATTCCCATCATTCGAATAATATAACTCAGTCAGTTACTTAATATAAGATACATTTTTAAAATCATACTTTGTCGCGTGCATTTTTCATCCGATGATATGTTCCAGGCCACAGTTTAATTAACATAGTTGCCATGGAAGTAGATACGTGTGTGAAAATCCTTCCATATTCATTGTTTTATTTATGGCGTATTTTTATAGTCATTACAGCCATTATCACATTCTGAGGCATTGTTCTCACTTATGCAACTCCTGTTAGAGACTTGAACGCGCGGTGCGGACGCTAACAACATGAACTTACCACAGGTAATCCGTTAATATGCAAGCCAGGATATGACGTCATATTCTATGGACCTAACGCAGAGTCGATGTTTTGCAATGGCTTTCGGAGTTATGCCATGTGCTCAAGATGTGCTACGTCTGTCCGTAAGATGACTTTCTCTGGTGCAGCCTAAGAGGTTATGGAAGTACCCTGAGGAACTTATTTACGTCATAACACAGGACTCTGTGAAAAGATTCTGTTTTTTTTTTTTTAAATTTTGGGTTCTTACGTGAGTAAAGATCAATTATTTATTTTTATCCGTCTAATCACAATATAATTTTATTTAAAATTATATTGTGATCAGACGGATAAAAATAAATAATTGATATAATATTCACAATATGACGCAATTACACTATCTTGTGACTAAAGATGTCGATTGTGGTCTTATTTATTTGATATGACGTCGTGTGGTCGTGTTAGTGTTTTTTACAGAGTTTCCGATGAACGTGTAGCCCTGAAGATGGAGATATTCAGGAATTTTAATTTCCGTCATGAAAATGAAGGTAATGAGTTTCATCAGAAATTTTGTAACCGTCAAGATTGCGATGTGGAAATGTATTCATACACGATTTGAGGTTTTCACTGCGAGAAGTATAAAAATAAATTTCTTCTGGGTTGTAACGCCGTATAATCTGATCGAAGTTTGCCGACGTTTCTAAGCTCCTTACTGCCTCTTTCATCAGGACGACGAGCGCACTGTAACCCAGAACACAACCCTTCAGAGTTAAATTCGTTTTAAAATTTTTAATATCAACCATTTTACTCCGCAAAAGGAAATTTTATTGAAATCAGCAGGTACCATGATCATTTACTGTTTTAGTACGACGTAGTGTAATCTCAGTTGGCTTTGTAAAGGTGAAAAATACATAGAAGTTGATAAGTGGATGCACGAGGCCATCAGCTCCAGCATTCCAACATTTCGCTATCCTAACTCTGTCGAACTTTGGCTCGGTAGGGGTTCGCTCAGAATTTTTTGTTCGCTGCTGTGAAGCTGTTAGCTCTTTCTTTAGGTGCCTTCATTTGTTTCTTACATCAGAGCGTGAACAAACACACCCAGGGGGCCGTGTCTTGTTGTGCTGAAGCAGCAGGAACTCTGTAGGAGGCTGTGCACTGGCGTCAGAACCAACAAAATGCTTGTTAGCGAATCTCTAGCCCACCACGTGTTGGATTTAATTCTTGTAATAGAACAATACTGGAAATGTTTATTCTACTATGAAGTACCCACATATTTCAAGTGCAATTTTGCATACCTCAGTGGGTCTTGGATGTACAATCATGCTGATCAAATATCTGTTGTTACGAATACAAATCAATTTTACGAACGTAGGGGGGGGGGACAACACTTCTTGTGCAATTATTAAACCGGAAGCCAACTGAATTCACCTTGCGATTAATGGACTATAAAATAAATTATTTATGCAAATTAATTTATATTTTCCAATTCGGTTTCGGTTTTATAAGTTACACACTTATTTATTTATTTATTTAGTGTTCTGTCTGACGACAGGTCCATATGAACAGGATCCTTCCATCCTTTTCTCGGACTGGGACCTGTTCATATACGTTCTTGGCAGATGATCCAGAAGTGGTTTGCCATTGCCTTCTTCTGTGTGTGAATGGAGTAATTGTTGGGATGCCACGGAGGAAAACTCCGTGTTGCCTAGACCACGGCCTTGCCCAACACAAGTTATAAATTCGGGCACCGCCGGGAATCGAACCCGAGACCCCAGGATTACAAGGCCAGCGTTCTAACCGCTAGATCACCGTGGCGGTGGAAGTTACGTGTATCAGTGTCATTGGCAAGATGATATTACGATTAATTAGTGAAAATATCCCCCATCTTTTACAGAATCAGAAAGTTCATTGCCATGTTCATAAAAATCTTTAATCGGTTCCTGCCTTTAGCCCTGTCTTTCGTTAAGGCTGATTTTTTAGGTGGCGAGAAACGGAACTACTAACTCCACCTTCGTGTTTAACAGAGACAAGAGCTCTCTCATGTATATAACCATTTTCGGAATTTCTGCAATGTCCAGAATACAGAGGGCGAATTCTAGAAGCGTCAGCTGTTACCAGATAGTGACGTCATATGACACGCGAAAGTGAATAACGACTTGCGATCTGCAAACAAAAGAAGAGGCTAGATGTTATCGTAATCTGAGTGAATATATAATCAGAGGACGTGAAATGTGGACTTGGACGTTCTTACTTCATTTCTGCCTCCATTTCTTATATTCTCTATGCGTGATACACTCTCTTCCATGTTAATAATCAAAACATGATGAAAGTTACGAGCTATTAGGTTAGTTGTGTTACAAATTGATCCACACATTCTGTTTTGTGGGTAAAATATGAGATAGTAAAGTTTTCTGTAGTGAAGATGGAGTCAGTACGTTCCTTCGAAACGTTAAAACCCGCCTACAGGTCCATACGGCGTCACAACGTCGGCATGGATTTGTAATAACTCACGAGGGCCGTAGAAATATGATGTTTGTTGCTACAGATGTTCCGCCATCTTGTTTCTTCAGCACTGAAGGACTCACCACCATATTTTAAGGTTATTTGGTATTTACGCTGAGCATTTTAATTTCTGCTTACTAGAAATTTGTTTTTAAAGAATTTCTCGCAGTAATTTCGTTGATATTTTATCGCGGTCCGAGTGATTGTAAACAATTAAATTGTTCCACACACAAACCACTCTATTTTTTTTATTTAGTGTTCTGTCTGACGACAGGTCCATATGAACAGGATCCTTCCATCCTTTTCTCGGACTGGGACCTGTTCATATACGTTCTTGGCAGATGATCCAGAAGTGGTTTGCCATTGCCTTCTTCTGTGTGAGTGTGAATGGAGTAATTGTTGGGATGCCACGGAGGAAAACTCCGTGTTGCCTAGACCACGGCCTTGCCCAACACAAGTTATAAATTCGGGCACCGCCGGGAATCGAACCCGAGACCTCAGGATTACAAGGCCAGCGTTCTAACCGCTAGACCACCGTGGCGGTCATTCATTTAATGATCACGCACTGCTGTTGGATACTTGACGTATTTCGGATGTTCTACGATAGGTTGTAGTTTCTTTAGGGCCGTGACATCACATAACAGATCAATTTGTATGAAAAATTGCCTGAGCTTTGCTGCTGTTTGCATTTATAAGAAAATATGCAACTCGTCTGTTTACCTTTGGGCGCGTGGCCTTGCCAAGGCGTGTCATGTTGGGAGACCGTGATTCGGAACAGGACACCGTTACGTCGGGCCGGCGAACTCTCAGGAAGGAAGGAAGAACCACTCCGATGGTCCACCAGGCACTAGGAACGCGCGGGCGATCAGCTGTTTGATGACGTTCTAGGTTTTGATTCCGTGTAGACTCCATGGTAGATAACAACGTTTCGGAGAAACATACTGTGTCTATCTTCAGGGCTAAAGATTATATATATTGAAGCAGTATGTTGCTCTGAAACGTTGGTATATTCCTATCAGTCCACAATGTATGTGGTAGAAATTTATGTACGTCTTTTATTGTTTCCATCATCAGGGAGATGAGTAATAGAGTCACAACGTTCAAAGATACAGATTTCCGATTGTAAAGACGAAGAATGAAGTTTTGTCCTGATGATGGATCTGAAACATCGGTCGATTTATAGCAGGCTACAAGTTTCGACATCCAAAAAGACGGTCATCTTCATGGTCGTCGTCGTGAGAAACTGAAATCTTACGAAATTGGGTCCTCATCATTTTAATACCTGTTTTCCATCTGTTTCAGGCACTGGTGCCGAATATGTTGGTGCCTGATACTGCTACAGGTAAATATAATTACCATAATTATTTTAGTAATAAATGTAGAGCCGACGTTTCAGAAGTGCTTACTGTCTTCAACATCGGAAGATCGTGACTGAGTAAGACAGCAATATACCGATTGGTAACAAAGTTCTGGGACACAGGAAATGTTTGTCTGTGGTAAGTGTTCATCTAGCGAGAGAACGGTTGAAATTACGACCGTGTCTATTTCAAGCATCGAGTGAGTCAGCTACAAGAACGGGATAGGGCTTCAAGAGTTCGATGTTACCAGCAGTTAACTCCTTTTTACATGTCAAGGTATTCGTGTGCAGTAGTTGGTGTTGCGTTTTAAATGGAACACCCTGTAGATGATGGCACTAATATCGATACAGTAATGCGATGGCAAGGGAGGCAATTTTTGTCGCCC